AATGTAGTGGCAAGTGGAAGAGTCAAATTTCAGATCGCCTCGCGCCCGAGCCATGAAAGTCTTCCAGATTTTCGATGCCAATTAACCAGGTGCCAAAAATGTCCGCAACATGTCCGGGAGTTATGTATAGTCCTAATCGTTGCGGGTGAAGGGGAGTGTCAAATGGGATGCGTTTGATGGGGCACCAAATCCGCTCTCCACCAGTTGTTGAAGCGTTGGTGAAAAACGACTGCTACGAACGATAAGACACAATCTTAAACCTTGCTCGTTTCAATAACCGGCGGAAAACGGGGTTGGCGCCGCGGCAAACTCACCCGCCTAACACGCCCATTTATCCGCAGCGAGAAGGACTGTGGAACACTCACTACTACTTGGTTTGGCTCGCGATTCAAGTAGACCAAATCTTACCCACATGGAATATTATTCATGGCAACCCTGGAACGAAGGTACAATGAAGGTGTACTGGTAGTACGCACTGGGGCTGCCTCGATAACTAACAAACTATGGCTTTCCCATCGCCCTACTCAAGGAATGCACAAAATTCCTGAACTGCTGAAATTCATGTGATTGATTCCGTTCACATCCCCTTCTGAACAAGAAAAACCAAGGCAATTCAATTCCAAGAAGCCTTTCCGTTTCGGAGAGCCCTAGAGCATCCCGAAGCAGTAAAGGTTCACCTAATCTCCTCATCCATTCCCAAGAGGATTGCCAAGACATTTGGTGCAGCTCATTACCATACACTATTAATTAACCCTTCTCTTCATTCCAGAAAAAAAGGAATTCATTCAGTTCCAACACGACCCCGTTGTATTCGCTACCATATCATCCAAGGCATTACTTATAGAGATAGAATAAAACTGATCACGCAACAGTCGGCAGAAACCGGAAATCTTAAGAGCACTCGAATTGCCTGATTTGGCATGTCATGCAACTTTTTGCACCATCGGCCATAGTTGATCTAGCCCTTTCGGTATATTAAGCAGATTCATTTAGCCAAGCAATGTCCTCAAAGAAGAAAGTGCGTTATCAGGTCCGGTTCCGCCCATACGGACAGCATGGAATGTACCTTCATGAATGAATTCACATGAAGCTACCTAATACCACTGCTTTCAGAAGCACTGTGACAGCGTGACCGGGGCGGGACTCTGCGTATAGGTGCGGCATCCCTTAGCGCTAAAGAAAAACTGCACTGTTCACATGTTGAAGCCCCAATCTTCAAAAATTAGGTAAGACTCTGATCGAAGTTTTTATTCCACGGTGGATTTGGCTAAAACTATACCTCAGGGGCTAATAAGACACCCCACCCCCGAACACGAATATGGCACCCGTCCAAAACGAAAGTGGCTCGCGTCCGGGTCACGGGCGGCCAGCGCCATAGGTACAACCGAAATGCCTGAGATGTGGTAGGCATGGCTGGTACTCAACTGAACGTAGCGGTGGCTGTGCTTTGAGGAGGATATTCTCACTTTGGCACAATTGTGGTCATGTCTCTGTCCAACACAGAACAAGATGACAGTTGTCTCAAATTGAAATATTCCACGAGTAACCCCCTCTATGCCATGTTCAAATGCCACGCCTACTGCGTCACCGGGAAAAGGAGTCTAATTTAGACGCCAACGCTCACAGCTGGCTTCACTATCTGTATTCAGGCGGTCTCTGCAGGGGGGGGGTCGACATATTGATGATATGGCGCTGGAGCCCACGGTGCGGTCGCAAGGCGATTTTGTGCCAAGCGGACGCGACCTGTTCTCGTGATTATAGCCTTCTTTCTGAGACTTTCTCGAGAGGGACCAGAACTGGATAACTAATTTTGTCAATTTCAATGATGTCACGTATCCTGCACACGTGGACCACCTGACTGCCACATAACGCACCTAGGAAAAAAATAATTAAGCCTAATTTGAAAGGCAACGGATCAGATACCAAATGCTAGCTGATAAGTCACATGTTCAACCCCCGGAAACAAAACAAAAGCGAAGACGTTGGTCGCCGTATTCCGCTCCCGAGCGCAACGTAACGAGCTCTAACTCGTTTAGTAGCGATCGATAGATGACCACGGAAACTGAGTTGTTGATGTTCTGCCATTCATAGCCATTTTTAGGCGTTTTCAGGAGGAAGAGGAGGGCCAAATCGAGGAAACCAAAAACGTCAGCCAACATTCCCTTAAGCATAATGGCTTGGCCGTCTCTAATGGCTATTGTGAATAATGCATGTCTCCCGCGACAAACTCTTTCGGGTTTAGCTCGCTTGCGGTTAGAACAACAATTGCACCATCTGAAAAAAGCACTTTAGATAGCAAAACGAGAAAATAGACGTAAAAATAGTGGTTACGAATTTATGACGTCAATTAGGTTCACCTGTGCTAATAGTTGTGGTGGCAAATTGCTCTTCATTAAAACATTCCGTGCTGTGTTCCCGTCAATACGGCCGTTTTGAGGATATAATGAAGCAAACTGAACACTGTTTGCTTGATATTCGGCCACCGACACTTCCCACGGATTGGCGGCATTCATCCTGAAATCGACAGTAATCAAAGGTGAACTAAAAAGCCTCAAAAAACGGACAAATGCCTTGAGAACCACGCGAAATACGCTAAATAATAAACTGTTGCCGCTCAGTGGAGTTAGTGAAAAACTGAAACGTCGAACAGAGTTCATTTCTGCGTCATTTCGCGACGAAGTGGGCGTACAATCTGGGGCAGGACTTGCTGGGGGTAAACAGTGCGCAGCAGTAAAGGGATGGCGCTTCGCGCCAAGAATGCGCAGGTCGCCTCGCGAAAGGTTCCCTTTCTCTCTGATAATCCCTCGTTTGATTTTTTTGCCAAATTCCTACTTTCTCTGGGAGTAGCTTCAATTCCCCTTTTTTTTTACACGAAAACTGCCATAATGACTCTAACAATGGCGTGTAAATTTTTCCGTGGAAAAAAAATCATTCCAAAAATCAATATCCACCGCTTCAACGTAGCCACCAGCACATTCATTCACGCCTCCCTGTCCCTTCGCTCTTCTAAATGATTCATGCGGCAATAGAGTCGTCGACTTCAATAACCTTGGAAGGGGCATTTAAAGGACACCTTGTGCAAAATAAATGATCGTATGGGGGGATAAGGACTTTTGCCCACGCTCAAAGAGGCTAAGAGCTTCGGGGTGGTGAATTAAGTACAAGTACGATGATCCTACTCGGACGACGTTCATCCCAGTTTTGCTTAAAGAGCCCTTTGCATGCCCCCTCCTGAAATTATTAGCGGCGTGCCATCTTATTGCACACTTTACACGCCATCATGAAACTCGAAATCATCGTCTTACTAAACAACTCAGTTCGAAGCCAGGGAACAGCATCGTTGTGTGAAACACAAAGGGAGTTCGCACTTTCCCGCTGGGAGGGGGGCGGCGCCTATTGGTCGTTGTTGGAGGAGGGGGGCGTTGATGCCTTCAAGAGAAATTTGATGTCGTTGTGAAAACATACTTCACCGGTTTCTGACTTGTTCTGGTTGCCCCTGTTTCATGTGTTTACCGACCACTCCCCTGCACCCCCCCCCCCCCCTCCTGCTCGACAACAAAATTTTTGAGTGAAAAACCGGAAAATGTGGGAAATTGAGGTAGGTGGGGGTGATACCGAGATCCTCACTTGAGTGGGCGGGTTCGTACGGAACTCTCCACCCTCTCCTCTCTCGGAGGGGGGTGAGGAAGGAGATCCGTACCTTTAACATCCATTTCATACATCACGATGCTGTACCCTGTTCGCGAGCTTCGGCCAGCAAGAATGGGAGTGCGTGGGGGGGGGGGGTATTCTGCATTCCGCTGGCTTCCGTTGTTCGTAACCGAGCTATCAAGTAGAGATTAGCGAAATCTCGTGCAGCCATGAAGTATTAATACTTCCCAAGTTCGAAGAAAGTACGTGTCAACTCGCGTAAAGAATACCTGTCAATTCTTGTAAAGCAACGAACATGACAAAGGGAACCAGAGAAGGTGCAAAATGCCACCCCCCCCACTCTCTCGGTGGACTGCACCCAAATTATAGTCGGCAATTGTTCATGTCTATTTGGCTGTCAATCAGAAGATCTTCGTTGAGGCGAGACGCAAAAACGAGTTAGGGCTTCCTAGCTAGTCGACTAAGCACGTTGTAGTACTTCCACGTTATATCGCTTGGCTTGCGCACGAAAATCCCTTACACGCAGTGGGATAATCGCAGCCGGCAGGGTTGAACTTCGCGACCCTATGCAGCGTGCCGCTCTCGTCGTACACGCGTTTTCCAAGGGAGGTACCCTTATAAGGGCCCTACCAAGCTACAACATACCGTCCCGGACGCCCACCGCGCCCGCCCGTCCACAAATGAACGGCCGTACTCAGATTTTATTTGCTAAGTAAAATATGAAGCGAATTAATCGGTATGAAGCGGCCGCGGTGCTGCATGGTTATATGTGTACTTACGTGCAGCCGTACCTACCGTAGCGCCGTGTTGGCCAAAGAGGATGCCTATGGGCAAACTCGTTCCGAAAATGATTCTTCTGCATTGCAGAACGAAGGCATCACCCCGCGGGAGTGTTTAGTTCTTTACTTCGTTTTTTCGCTATTTTCCCACTATATAGCACCCTGCTAGTGTTTCAGGCCGAGTATCAAATTATCGTGCCAATTCCTTTTGAGTTCTGGCGCGAGTGCCACGCACACAACGTCGCCTTCGTCGAGTAGCCGCAAGATGGATTCCCCAACCGAAACTCAGTAATATGTTGCAACACTATGAATACTGACAAATCCCCTGACCTGGAGTATATACTGCATTCGGATGTGGCATTGCATTCATATGCGGCTGTACTTGTGGTGGACCACTTCCGACTGGCACTTGCATCAGAGATGGAGGTAGAGTGGAAGGTAATGGAAGACCAGCGAGGCAATTCCGTGTCAATCGCCATAGCTATGAGAATTTCACTAACATCAAGCATACCATCTCGATTCGTGTCCGATAAAGCCCATATCTGAAAAGGATTACCTTATGGGTGGTAATTTCACTACAAATCGAAATTTCTCACATATATGGCTGACAAGGCGCAGGTGGTGTAGTGACAAGTGCGCGCGCTTACCACTCGCGCGGTCCCGGGTTCGAATCCCGGGTCGACTCCCGCCCAGGCCAACCAAGCCTTCTACCCTCCGGGGACGGTAAATTGGTACCAGATTCGTCTGGGAGGATAAAACACTGACTTGTACATCGGCTGGCCCCCCGCAAGTCACTGTATAGGCCACATGGCATTCAATATGCCACTACGATAAGTAGAATGCGTGCGCATCCCACAAAAGGATTGATTAATGGTGAAGACTTTTTAGACTTTTATGGCTGATATCGTCACAATCAGTCGGGCTGTGTCAGGATGAGATGAGCCCGCCTTCAGCTGCCTTTCTCTACCAATAGTGATCGCTCAGTGACTAATTTGAGAAGGAAATAATCAGTGGCTAAGAAGCCGCGCATGGGCTCCACTCCACACTCCACTCCCCTTGGAACCGTCCTCCGACTGCGACGGCGATATCAACTTGGTGTACGAGCGGCACAGCATCGTGGTGCTGAAATAGGGGTGGGCCGTAGTTTTCGCTGAGGGAGCGGCGGAGCGGGGCCGCCGCGGCGGTCGCATTTGGTCGTGTGGGAAAGGAGTCGTATGTGGCTTTGAGAGAAATTAGCCACGTTGGGGAACAAAATTCTCCCGATTGTTGTGTTGTTTTATGTAACCCCCACCCCCCCCCCCCGCTGGACGGAAAGCCTCTGGTTAGAAAACTATAGAAGGTGGGGGTAGGTGCTCGGAAGGGGGGGGGGTCGTTACTGGCCCACCACCATTATCACCTAATCACGATGCGTTACCCTGGATGTAACATGCGCGAGGGCTGATGCGCCTATCTCGCTGACGCTGAATTTTTTTGGGGTTCCTACTGGGGGAAAACTAAGTTCGCTAGAAAGATGTCACTGTAAAATGACACTAAGGAACTCGCAAGGCCTAAGCAACTCTCTTCCGCTCCCCCCCCCCCCCACCTTCCACTGAACTCGGTTGAAACGTAAGCGCGTGTAGTGACCTGGTTCAAAAATCCGTGATGGCGCGTCAGGAATTTCTTCCAATGCCGAAGTAATGTAGTGGCAAGTGGAAGAGTCAAATTTCAGATCGCCTCGCGCCCGAGCCATGAAAGTCTTCCAGATTTTCGATGCCAATTAACCAGGTGCCAAAAATGTCCGCAACATGTCCGGGAGTTATGTATAGTCCTAATCGTTGCGGGTGAAGGGGAGTGTCAAATGGGATGCGTTTGATGGGGCACCAAATCCGCTCTCCACCAGTTGTTGAAGCGGGTAAGACGTTGGTGAAAAACGACTGCTACGAACGATAAGACACAATCTTAAACCTTGCTCGTTTCAATAACCGGCGGAAAACGGGGTTGGCGCCGCGGCAAACTCACCCGCCTAACACGCCCATTTATCCGCAGCGAGAAGGACTGTGGAACACTCACTACTACTTGGTTTGGC